TGCCACACACAGCCCCATAAGCACACTCACACTCACTCACACAGGCCAGCAACAGCAGCAGCCACTGAGTTGGATGGCTTCCTCAAAAGAGGGCTGGAAAGTTTGTTTGCTGCCAGTGAAAGGGGCCTAGACATTCCATGAAATGACTCACACTGCACCTTTATAGATATTAAATGTTGTTTTTTGCTGCATTAAACAACAACAATAACCCTCATCCCATGACGTGAGGGCAGGGTGGGGAAACTGAGTGACTGCCTTCTTGTTGGCCTCTGATGAGCCCCCCATGTCCCTCATCCCCTCTACCAGGTATCCAGGGTCAGGCCCCATGTCTGAGCCGTTGCTGAACTCCCCTCGTATTCCAGCTCTCTCCACAGGTCTCCTAGATCTGTCTTTATGTCTGCCTACTTGAACAACTCCAGGGGGCTCCATTTCCCTTATAAAATATAAAGAGCACCATATGTGCCTGGAACCTCCTCCCCCGCTCTGGCCCTCTTCTCTATCTGAAGAGGGAGCACCAGCTTGATGGCTGCTCATGACACTCAGGCTCTGCAGAAACCCCTTGGTGCTCCCTGGGGTGAAGCTTCCATGTGTTTCTCTCCTGATGCACTTGCATCAGCTGTGAGCAGGTCAGCCAAGGCCCAGCCTCCTTGGCTTCACTCTGAGGACAACACAAGTCAAAGGGATGACACGAGGCAGGACTGGGGCCAGCAGATGCTGAGGGCTGAGGGGTTAACTCTGGCTCCACTAGACAGTGGCCCCAAACCCTGAATGCTACACGGCCTTTGGTAGGTGCTTAATGCAAGTCCCTGCTCCTGTGCCTGGGCTCTGTTCTGGCTCCAAGATAGGACTAGGGACCGGTGGGATTAGAGACTCCAGGGAACTTGCTGAACTCTGCCAAGGGCAACTTCATCCTTATTTTTTTTTTAATCAAATAAACCACAGGTTTGGGTCCTTCCTGCTTCCCAAATCTTGCACCATCCCAGGAGGACCACGAAGGGCCCTAAATCTATTTTCCTAACACCAGCACCACTCCTGGCTGTGGATGTGGCAGGGACAGCACTTCCCAGCAGCCACTGTGCTCAGCATTGATACGCCAAGTTCCAGTTCAGGCCAGGAGCATCTCCTGCTAGGCTGTCAAGTCCTTTCAGACAGCCTCCCTGGGCTGCAGTCCAGCCTACCAAAAAGTGGGCCCCAGCATTCCCCTGAAGTTCTGTAGGGGATCTCATGGTGCCCAGGCCTGTCTGGAGGGCAACTATGAAATTTTTCATCTTAATCACTGAAAACTGTGTAAGAGCCAGGTGTGGTGGTGCACCCCTGCAATCCTAGCACTTGGGTGACTAAGGCAGGAGATGCAAGGACAGCAAGGACAGTGAGTTAAAAACCAGCCTGACTACATAGTGAGACCCTGTCTCAAAAACCCAAATTAGGTCTTCAGTCCTCAGTAGGGTGGAGTTCGTGGACCAAATGCCTTTCTAAAGAACCCCAGTCAGGCATTCTCTCCAACCAAGTGAAGGTGGACAGGCCACTGAAAATTGTGATTTTGGAAGCTGCTACCAACTCCATCCCCTCATCTGCTTGCCTGTGCTTTAGCCTGGGGCCCCGCTCCCCTAACATGGGCCAGAGCAGTGATCTGTCATCCTGCCGTCTGGGAACTTTGGTATAATCTATCTCAGGAAACCCTATTTTGCAGCTATTCAACAAAACACTGCTTATGCTAACAATCCACGGCCTGGGACTTCAGGATTTCTGCCTGTTTGGGGGGGATACATAAGCCCTTCTCAGATAAACCCAACAGAAGCAAACCTAAGCTTACTGAACATAACAGAAGAACGATGATGGGCTTTACAGAAAGGATTGTGGGAACTTCTCAGCTTTCCAGGGGGAATATCCTTTGAAACCATAACTTCTCTCTGGCCTTTGGAATATGCTTCTCCTTCCAAATGTCTGATCAATCGGCAACTTTTCGTGCATATGTCGGTGGTGGAAAGTCAGGGCTACAGAAGCTGTGGCATGGTGGTGTTTTGTTCTGGCCACGGGTTTGAATAGAATTTGCTGATGCCAAAGGGTTAAATGAGACGGGAAGTAACCAGCCATCTTGTCTCCAGAGAACCCTGGGTGATTTGCAGAAGAACATGGGTCCTCAGGCACTGCTTGGAAAAGGAGAGAAAGAGGGGCTCGGCTTGGAGAGTTGTCATGGTGGGAGGGCAAGCTGAATGGACACTTCCACTTAGAAGGTGGTCCTACACAGGCTGTGGGCAGCTGGGAGGTCTCTCTGCTCCCCGTGGGATTTACGTTCTAAGGCCTGAGAGCAGTCAGCTAGGGGTGGAAAATAAGGTATCAAGGAGGAAGGAGAGAGACTGAGATTGCACTGCTGAGTGGCACAGCCTGAGCATCCACAGGCAACTCGAAAAGGGGAATTCCTGCCCAGTCAGAGCAGAGACAGTGTGGCTGTCCTCAGGACCGTGGTGATCTCAGCCTGGCTGGCCCCACCTGGCTGGGGCTCACGCAACAGGTAAGTAGGGAGCCAGGTGGGGAAGGCCCAGCAGGCTGTGGAGCAGCAAGGTCATGGGCAAAGGCAGACAGGAAGTTCACTCTCATGACTTCCAAGGTGAAGGCAACACAAGATTTTCATGAAGAGGTGAGTGTTGACTACGACTACCAGATCATGGTGCTGTTGTCAGTTTAGAGTGGCTGGGAAAGGCAGGAACTTACGGGATTTCCACAAGCTGTGGGCTGCAGGTCACCATGAACTGATCTGCAGTAGGAAACTCTTTCTCTGCTCAACCCAAAAGCAAGACCTGGCCTCAAATGTTGCATTGAGGCTTCAGCCTTGGTTCAAACCACACACACTCACAGGAAGTGTCCAGCATTAGTCCTCAGCAGCTTCTGTCTGCTCTGACTCTGCCACATTTGCTCCTGAGAGCTGGGTTGAGAAAACAAGATGAACTTGAAGATGATGCTGAAGATAGCTAACATTTATTGCAGACTTGTTAGGCACCAAGGACTGCCATAGACATAGGTTATCTTACTCAGCCTCGCCACAGCCTTAGGAGGGAAGTTCTGATTATCCTTAATTTTTAGATAAGGAAATTGAGCCTCAGAGTGTTTAAATGACTTGCCCAAAGTCACTTAGCTGGTACGTGGTGCAGCCAGAATAGGAACTCAGTCCTGTCCTTAGAGACCATTAAACTCTTGGCAAAATGGAAAAGTGTGTGTATCTTTTAGTGTGTTTCAAGGTCAAGGTAACTGCAACTTAGGGATGACTGAGATCTACCACAAACTTGAAAGGGGAGCCTCACAGGCAAGAGGTCAGTGCAGAACTGTGTGTCTCCAGGATCTGGAATCTCCTGAGGAAAGCATAAGCACCCAGAAAAGAAGACGTAGAAAATTGCTCTTGGTGCTTGTTGCAGGGATTTGGGTATTGCTAGCCAGGCGGTCTCAGGGACCAGTGTCCCAATTCAGCCACTAGAGCTTTCCCTGGCAACCCGAAATCTACAGATGCCTTTGCTGCTGGCATTCACTGCCACTCCTATCCCCAGGCCTGTGCCAAGGATTATCCTTCCCAAGGCCGAGGAAGCAGGCCCCTCCACCACCCCCACGTCTTCCCAAGGTCCTTCCTTTCTGCCCTGCAATTGCTCTCTAGCAAGGCCAAGGCCTGGCTGGGCCAGTCCTGTCTTCCAGAGCATGGAGTGATACTTTGCAGCAGACTCTCTCTGGAGGCCCAAGCTGTAGCATCAGGTGGGAACTGGTATGGATGCTGAGACAGGCCAGAGAAGCAAAGAGGAGACTCCGTGGGACATGGGTTGAAGTGGGCACCTTAAGGAGAAATAGCCTGGCTTTGGATGGGAGAAGAGTGAACATGCTTTTGTCCCAGCACCCAACCCTGGCTGCCTTTGCACCTGTTGTGTCCGCCCCTCTCCCTCCCGCTCCTTCCCTGGTCCATGTGCTCCGGGCCTCTCTCACTCCTAGGAGCGCAGGAAACTCCAATCACACCAGCCTGAAGATGTATTTGGTTTGGGACTCCACCACAGCGTTTGACTTGTTCTTCCCAAATTGTATCCTCCGGGCATCTCCTGGCCTCACCTACTGCTCACCCTGCCTCATAAAGTGCAGAGCAGGACCGGGGCCAGAGGCGTCAAGTGAGTGGAGTGCACCAGCCGGCGAGGTGGCTGGACTCAGCCTTCCGGAGGCCCCCCCACCCCCACTAATGGATTTCTCTGCGGAACCTTGTGTGATGGCTTTCCACCCCCGGGAAAGGCGCCCTAAAAGATGAAGACCCTGGAGGACCCTGATTAGGAGCGGAGTCCCGCGGGAGGGGGGAGGCGGCGCTGGCCAGGGCAGAGTCCTGCTAAGTGGGCTCTGCAGGAGTCTGCCCTCGCTGTCCCCGAGGCAAGCGTGCTGTTAGGGGAAAGAGAGGTCGCTCGGGCCCCTGGCACGGTTCCCCCTGCCGTGCTGGCGACCGCTGCGGGCCGGGGGTGGAGGGGCGCTGTTTCCACCGAGATGCCTCGTCCCTCCCTCGCTCCCTCCTCCACCCCGCCCGCCCGCGGTCCCTCCCGTCGGTCCCTCCCTCCGATTCTTCCCTCCCTCCCGCCCTGCCTCCTTCGCGCCCGCCCAGCCGCCGCCTGCGGGTACGTGTGTCTCTAGTGCAATTTCCCCTTTCGTTCAGTCCTCTCGGTGCAGGTCTCTGCTGACTCGCGCCCCCTCCCCGGGCGCCCCCGTCGCCCCTTCCCTCGACCCAGCCCGCCCCCCCTCCCCCGCGTCCACTCGGGTCCCCGGGCGCCCCACCCCGCCCCTCGACTCCTTTTATCAGGGGCGCCGCCGTCTCACCTGGTATTTGCATCTCGCCCTCCAACTTGCCATTGGCGGCGCGACGTGTGGGAGAGCCCTGCGCCTCGCCCGCCCGGACCAGCCTGCCCCGGCGCCGAGGTGAGTCACGGGCGCGGGGCGGCGGGGGCAGGCGGGCGGGGAGGAAAGGGGGAGGGCGGGCGGGAGGGGGACGCGGCCCTGGCCGCCGCGGGGACCGGCCCGGCACCGCGCTCAACTTCCACTTCTCCTTTCGCCGGCGCCGAGCTCCGGCGCCACTTGCCCAGCCCAGCTTCCGAGGGGAGAAGGTGGGCTGGAGAGGCTGGGGGGGGGACCGGCGTCTCGGCCCCAGGAACGGGGACTCGACCACGGTGACCGAGCCTGACCCAGCTACCAGGGGTGGCCCATAAGCCACTCGGCCTCAGGTACGTCGAAGGCGCCGAGTCTTCGAGTGTCTTCGGAGACCTCAGAAAGTTTGCCTCGGGGCAGGATCGAGGACGCCCGGACCCCAGAGTGGGGTTGGGGGCCCCGGGAAGGGTAGGAGAGCCGCTGCTAATGGAGTGCCTCCCTTGACTCGCCCCACAGCGTGTGTGTTGGGGAGCCCGAGCTCCTGATCCGGGGTAGAAATGGAATCGATTTTCCTGAGTCGGGATCGAGGGCCAGTTTTTCTGTGCCCGAGCAGCCTGGGTTCCGTGACAGGGCCGATCGTGACAGCGGGCCCCAAAAGCTCAGCGTCCAAGGGCAGGAAGTTGGGCAGACTGGCAAGGCTGCTAGATTGATCAGGCAGCCCCTAGGGCTTCTGGGGCCAGGTGTTTAGGGTCACACAGAGGCATGCCCAGAAACCTGTGACTTGGAGAATCAAAGCTCCAAAATAGAGGCCACTTGGCTGGGTGTGGACTTTCCGTGTGTGCGGGCGGCCAGTCTTCCCGCTCCTGCGTTCCCGCTTCTCCTGCCTCTGTTCCCTCCCCTGCTACCACCAAGGAGACACAACGGCTGCCCAACGTGGAGTCTCATGATGCCAGCGCCTTCCTTTGGATGTTTAGGGGCTGCCCAGGCGGCAGCCACTTTACCAACTCCTGGCCCCTCCCCACCCCACCCTAACTCTGCTACTTTGTCCTCACAACTAACTGTATGGCTGGGACAGGGCCTTCCTGACTAGAGTCACCTCTTGACCTCCTGGCTCCTTGGGCACAGTGAAGTTTCCCACCAGCAGCAGCTGAGGGATTTGATGGTCTTTTCATTCCTGCCCCTCATCCCTCTGCCCAGGATAGAGGCTTGTCTGGTCCTGCAGCTTCTTCTGGTTAATGTTTGACAGTTCATTGTAGCTAATCATTTTAATTAGCTCTTAAAGTGGGGAGGAACAGTTAACCTTGGACTTCTCGATTTTGGCCTGGTGGGGCCTCAAATGGGAGGAGTGCTGAGGAGGTGGGAAGGTCAGAGCGGAAGTGAGGTCACCACCCCAGGGCCTGAGCCACCACTGCTGGTCCCAACAGCTGGTGGGCACGCTCACTGGGGGGACTCAACCCTTGGGAACTGACCCCTGGCCTGAATGCCAGGTTGGAGAGAGGTGAAGAGAATGGGTCTAGTTCTTCCCTTCGGAGAGACAGGACACTTTGACACTGAAAATGCCCAGTGAACACGTATGCCCAGCAAGAATGCCAATCTCTCCTTGTAGTTAACTCCACAAGGTTTTCCCAGTTATGAAGTGCTTCATCAACCGCTAATTCAGTGCACATAGTGCAGAAGCAGCCTAGCAGGAGCAATCTGCTGTTATGTGAAGATGACCAGGAAGACCTGGGGGCCGGTGTGGGCAAGAGGCTGCCTTGTATGTGGCTGTCTCTGGGGCTGGGTTCAAAGCCTGGGATCCCTTGTTTCGGGGAATCATGAAGCAGACTCCACGTTGCTACCCTCACCCAGCCTCTAGCTGTGAGCCGAAGGAGTGGCTTGTTTGCAACTATGTCTGGCATTCCTCCCTCTGCTGCACTGTTTGCTCGGTGGTTACTCAGGAACTGGCGCCCACCCCTAGACAAGCCAGGGGCGAAATCCACCCTCCTTCCCCCAGTGCCGAGTGGTGGCACATATATCTAAAAATGAGGGTGCTTTGGGCTATCTGTCAGGGACCTGATTGATAGCGTGTTCAAAACGCTCCTAATTCTGCAAAGCTCAAGGCTTTTGTCCTGGAGAGGCCCGGCCAGTCACTGACTGAGGGTATTCCTTTCCCAGGGGCAACTCTGCTCCTGAGCTCAGCCTTGGTCCTCTCTACACCAGCACCATCCCTAACGTTCTCATACCTCCAACCCCTAGAGCCAACTGTCTGGGTTGAACTCCCAGCTTCATTGTTTACTAGCTATGTGCTCCCAATCATGCGGCTCCGTTTCCTTACCTAGCAAAGGAGACCCACTTCATATAGTTTTACATGTAAACTGCTTATTAGAACTGTGTGTGGCACATGGTACACACCTGAACTAGCATTATGATTTTATCTAACACAGTGCCCAAAACTCAGATTCAACTCAGCAAACATTTGCTGGGAGCTGGTCCCAGTCCTGGGCCCCAGGAAAGTGGCAGAGGGGAAAATATGGATGGGAAGAAGACACCACCTGCCTTCCAGGATTGTATCTTCTTCTGTGGGCCAGAGTAGTGTCAGTGGGTGGGGAGACTGGATAAGTCATATGTATAAATAATCATAATTTAAGGCCAAGCTGGAATTCCTGAGCGAGTGTAGAGAGCCAGTGAACCCTGACTCAGGCTTCTCCTTGCCTGGAGACCCTGTGTCTGGGTTCTGGCCCGGATGCTGCCCGTCCTTCAAACCTGCCCTAGGTTTTTCATGAGTGAGAGGGAAAGGAAGACTGATTCCTGTGTGGGCTGCAGGTGCCAAGCATTCAGGGTGTTATTCTTTGGGTGTCAGGACAGAATGGCGTTACTAAGGGTCACCCTCAAACATAATCAGAACCCTCTGGAGTGGCAGGGCTCACACCTGCCATGCTCTTTTCATCTTCCTGGGGTCCCCTGAGTTGGAAAGTGCCTTGGACAGCCTCCCGCCCTCAGGCCTGGGCCTGACCCCAACTGGCTTTGGTTATCACGCCTGGATTTCTAAGCTGAAAACAGGTTTCTGGCTTCACTGCAAATTTATTCCCTTTGTGGTTCTCAGGCTGAAAAGTAGTTCTGCAGGGGAGAAAGGAAACTCATGCTAGGTACCCAGAATCCATGGGTGCTTTCCTGGGAGTGCAGGACTTTTCTCATCAACACCAACCTGCCTGCAAATCTCTGGCTGCTGAGCCTCGTGTGTCTTGTAATAGCGGCTGCGCTGTTAATGCCCAGCAGCTCCGGCCCCAGCACTGGTTGCCAAGAAACTGCTGGTCGGGGTGCTTATAGGGTTCTGACCTCATAGAGGTTGCTGAGTTTCAATTCAACAGACATTTATTAACACCTACTGTGTACCTACCCTGCACTAGGAGTTGTGGAGCAGCCAAGGGAAGGAGGTGGTCAGTCAGAGATGACTAAAACACTGAAACAATCAGAGGCGAGGACAAGCAGCCAGGCCAGCAGCTGGTCAGGTGCTAATTGTACTCCTCAGAGGAGAGGCCAGCTCGGCCAAGACACTGAGGTCAGCGACAGCTGGAGGAGGGAGGAAAGGCTTTGTGAGGGATGCGGGCTCAAGCTAGACCTTGAAGGGGGGCAGGGGCAGTGAGGGGGAGCCTTGGTGCAGCAGAAAGGGGAGCAAAGACGCCTTTCTTTCTATTCCCCAGCCGTGAACTGACCTTCAGAGCCTGGATGATTGTTCAGCAAATGCATGTCACATAAAAGACCAGGTCAGTGAGTGTGGGTGGCTCAGTGGAAGCCCGGATCTCCACTGTAGGAGATACAAAGTGGCCGGCCCAGACAGTAAGCCCAGTGTGTATTGATGAGATACAAAGGGTGGCCAGGCTTCCCTGCCACCCAAGCTGAGGGGATTTTATTTGGAACCCCACCCCACCCCCAGCACACACAGGCCCAGGGCCGAGGGGAGGAGAGAGGTAGGGGACACCAAAGCATGTCAGGAAAACTGGCATGCCACAAGTGTTCGCAGCAGACAGTGGCTGTCTGGGTACCTTGCCGCAAGGTTGTAAGTTTTCTCTGGAAGCCCAGAGACTGAAGTGGAGGAGAGAAGTTTTCATAATTGTCCGCTCTCCCCAGCTAACTGGGAACTAGAGGGTCTGGAGAGTCCCACACGTTTCTGCCCAGACCACCAAGGACTAGCCATATATTTGTTCTGCTGCTTTTGTGTCTCCTATGGTTGGGTGTGAAAGGGGCTTTGGCTCTTGTTGGGTTTAATTGGATGAAAACAGTCCCCCACACGTGCACACACATACACTCATTACTTTTCCTCTTGATGCCTTCTTGCTTTTTCCCTGTCCCCAGCACATTTCAACACCTAAGAGACATAGCAGAATGCTCTGGCTTCTTGGCTGAGAAGTTGTGTCCCCTGTGAGTTTCTTGGCAGAGACCCCAGCTTACTCCCAAGGTGAAGAGGAGGCTCAGGCATCAGGGAAGGGTGTTTTGTGCAGGAGGGTCTGCGAGGGGAAGCACTGGGATGGTACACCACTCTCCTTCTTGACCAAGGGTGAGGTCTTTCTGCCAGCTTTTTGTTAACTCTGCCATAGCACAGAATAAAGAGGGGACATGGAAGAAGAAGGTGTGTGTGTGTGTGTGTGTGTGTGTGTGTGTGTAATCTTTCTGGGGCAGGCACTGGTATAGTGAAGAGTGAAGCTGGGTGTGGTGATGCATGCAGGTCTGTAATCCCAGACTCTGGAGACTGAGGCAGAAGAATCACCCTGAGTTCAAGGTCAGTCTGAGCTACATAGTGAAACCCTGTCTCCAAAAAAAAATATCGTTCACTACAGAAATCAGAATCAGCTCGTTCCTTTGACTGAAGGGCCAACATTCTATCCCCGGGACTATTTAGCAATCATTGGTTTGTTGTTATTGGCCTCCTGAGTGGAGAATTCTGGGAGCCAGTAGACCCCTTGCTGGCATAGGTGATAGGTGCCCGGAGGGCTGGGCTTGGGGCTGGGGCTCTGGCTTTGCACCAAGAGCTTGAGGGGCTTTGGGCCATCCCCTTTCGAAAAGGCTTCTCAGAAGGTAACTTTGGAGGATCCCTCTGCTGTTGACCCAACTGTGTTTGCTTGAGCCTGTGACCACCCCCAGGAACAGGAGCCCAGGACCACCCCTGAGAGGAGTCCTTCACTTGGTTCCTTGGTCTCTGCTCATGAGGTTAGGACAACAAGGCCTGGGGGGATAAGAAAGTGGGCAATTAGTCTTAACCTCCCCAAATTCCTGATGACTTGATAACAAGGAGGTACTTAGATGTAGCCTGAGGAGATAATCTGTCTTTTCCCATAATGCCCCCTGAGGATAAGAGGCTACTTCAGCTCTGTCCAAACCTGGGAGAATTCATGCACAGAAAACACTTGTCTTGCTAGGTGACCACTTTCCTGGCGCCACACTGAACCTAAGAAAAACACAATAGGCCTGACCCCGTGGTTGGAGGCTTTAAGCCCAATTCTAGAAGGTAGTGACACACACACTTAGTCCCACCTCAGGTGAGAACTGACATGCCAACCAACCTATGGGCACATTGTAGACTTGGCAATGGTAGGTCCGATGGCTTGTCGGGAGAAAGATCATCCTTCTTCCTCAGCTTCACTGAGGGAGGCTTCCTGGAGGTCAGAGGGAAGGTGACCTTTCAAAAGAGGAAAGAGCCACCATTGGCTGTGTTCTAGGGGCATTCCAGACTCAGCAAGACAATAACACTGGCATTGGAGTGAGACAGAGCTAAAACTCATAAGCCCATCCCAATCAGCCTCAAGAAGTCTCAAGGTTTAGGATCCGACTCTACCTGTACCAAGGAACATACTTTCTAGGAGAGCATGGGAATTCTTGGTTTTCTTTTTTGGTACCGGGGATTGAACTCAGGACCTTGCGCTTGCCAGGCAGGTGCAGTGCCACTGAGCTGAATCCCCAGCCCTTGCTTCTTTTGTCTTTACTGCTATTACAGAAGAAATATTACATAGTCGAGTTGCATAGTAATGTCACATGGTGAAATTCCACAGCGTTTACTGTTACTGTTACTGTCATTATGGTGGTGATGGTTGTTATTTTGTCCAATCTGGGGCCCTTTTTGCTTTCTTTTTATTTAACAGCTTTATTGAAGTCGTGTTGATGTACAATAAACTGCACGTATTTCCAAGTGTGCAATTTGATAATACTTGACATGTGTATATACCCGTGAAACCATCACCACAATCAAGAGAGTGAACATATGCATCATTCCCGGAAAGTTTCCTCGTGCCCCTGTGTGATCCCCCCTCCCAGCCAGCGGCAGCCACTGGGCTGCATTTGGTCACTATAGATTAGTTTGCATTTTCTAATGTTTTATGTAATAGGAGTCATATAGCATGCAGCCTTTTTTGGTCTGGTTTCTCTCACTCCACGTCTTTATTTTAAGATTTATCCTTATTGTTGTATATGTCAGTATCTCACTCCTTTTCTTTCTTTCTTTCTTTCTTTCTTTCTTTCTTTCTTTCTTTCTTTTTTTTTTTTGCAAAGTAGCATTCCATTGTGTGGATAAAACATACATTGTGTACTATTCAACAGCTGATGGACATTTTGTGCTTTTTCTAGTTAGTAAAGCTGCTATAGACATCTGTGTACAAATCTTTTTATGGCTCTATATTTCCTTTTGTCTTGGTTAAATACAGTAGTGAAGGTTCAACTTTTTAAGAAACTATCAAACTGTTTCCCAAAGTGGCTGTACCTTTTTATATTCCCACCAGCAGGGGAGGAGGGCCTAAGTTCCTCTTCATCCTCACTGACACTAGGGCTGTGTGGCCTTTTTACTTGTAGCTATTCTGATAGGCACACAGGACATCACATTGCGGTTGTAATTTGCATTCCTTCCCCTAGTAATGGATGCTGTTGAACTTTTTTCATGTACTTGTCATCTATATACCTTCTTTAGCAAACATCTGTGCAAATCATTTGCTCATTTTAAAATTGTTTTCTTGTAGTTTTGAGTTTTTTATAGATGGATGCAAGACCTTTATCTGATGCATACTTTGCAAAGACTTTCTCCTAGTCTGTAATTTGTCTTTTCATTCTCTTCAAAAATTTCTTTGGGGGGGTATTCTGAGACAAGGGTCTCGCTATGTAATTCAGGCTGGCCTTGAACTCATGGCAATTCTCCTACATCAGCCTACCAAGTGCTGGGATTACAGGTGTGCATCACCACACCTGGCTTAGTTTTTCTGAAGAGCAGAAGTTTTTCATTTTGGTGAAGCGCAATTAATCAATTTTTCCATTTACAAACCATGCTTTTGGTGTTAGAGCTAAGAAATCCCTACTTAGTCCTAGGTCACAAATATTTTATCTTATGTTTTCTTTTATAATTTTAGGTTTTACATTTTGGTCTGTGGTCCATTTTGAGTTAATATTCTTTTTTTTCCAGGCACCTTTTTTTGTTTGTTTGTTTTTTGGTTCCGGGGATCGAACTCGGGACCTTGTGCTTTCGAGGCAGGCGAGGAACCACTGAGCTAAATCTCCAGCCCTCCAAGCAACTTTTTAAAATTTTATTTATTTATTTATGTATTTAATTTATTTGGTACTGGGGATCGAACTCAGGACCTTGCGCTTGCAAGGCAGGCAGCTGAACCACTGAGCTAAATCCCTGGCCCAAAATTTTATTTTATTTTTAATAAATTTTATTTCATCCCATCCCTCCCCCCTCCAGCCCCCTCCCCTCCCTATGTACAAAAGCTTTGTTTCCTTTTTTTTGTTGGTACCAGGGATTGAACTCAGGACCTTGAGCTTGGGAGGCAGGCGTGGCGCCCCTGAGCTAAATCCTCAGCCCTATTTTCTCTTTTTCTCTTGTCCCTTCCTTCCTTTCTCCCTCCCTCCTCCCTTGTTCCCCTTTGAGTTAATTTTCTATATGGTGAAAGGTATGAATCAAAATTCTTTTAATTTTCCTCTTCCTACATATGGATGTCCAATTATTTCAGCACCATTCACTGAAAAAAAGCTATTGGGAGTCTACTATTGTCCTTATATATGTGGGCTTATTCTGGACTCTACATTCTATTCCATCCATCAATCTATTTGTTTTTTTATGCCATTATCATCTTGATTACTCTAGCTTTATAATCATTCTTAGATTCAGGTAGTGTTACCCTTTAACTTTGTTCTTTTTTTTTTTTTTTTTTGGTACTGGGGACCCAACTTGGGACCTTACGCTTGCGAGGCAGGTGCTGGAACCACTGAGATAAATCCCTAGCCCCACTTTGTTCTTTTTTGAAGTGGGTTTTGGCTACTCTAAGTTTTTTATAATACTGTATGAATTTTAGAATTGAATTGGTTGTATCATTTTCTTTTAATACCTGAATGTATCCTATTTGCATTGATAGTTATAACATATATGTTTGGCCTCACATAATCTTATTTTATAATCATTAATGTGCTTGATGCTATTCTTATTTTAGATGATGCTTATCGTTATTGATATTCTTTTTTTTCTGGTATTGGGAATCGAACTCAAGACCTTGTGCTTGCCAGGCAGGTAGGGCACCACTGAGCTAAATCCCCAGCCCTGTTCATTGATATTCTTAGGCTAAAGCATTCCTTAACTTTACTATGCATTTGTAAACTAAGACTAGTATTTGCTCTTCATGTACAACCCATTTTTGGTGAATGAGTCTATGATTTCATACATCAGTATACAGATACCAGTCACATCTTTTTTCAACCCTGTCTGTCTAGACAACAAAAGTCTTCTTTTATT